GTGTTTTTGTACCACTATGTGCCAGGATAGAACTAACTTTCTCACTGTCATAAATTTAGGAAAGATAATAGAAATGAGTCTTTGTCCCTAATCAAACCTATTCCTTTGCGGGAACATGCATGGTCCAGCAAAACCTCCTTTAGTTAACATGCATGTTTATTTATTTTAAGGATAACTCAAAATGTCCTTCCAATTCTCATGTAAATGTTCATGAAAAGTGTGTGTTTTGCATAATCTTTCTTAAGATGATTTTTTTCTTTCAGCTGCACCCTTCTTCAGGGGTCGTCACAGCGAAGTCACACGAAGACTTGGCAGTTATTTTTACGCCGGGTGCCTTTCCTGACAAAACCACAGACACTGAGTTACCACAGCCAACTGTGTGTAGCAGAGAGTTGCATCTAGGGCGCCCGGGGAGCAGATGGTGGGGATTAAGGGCCTTGTTCAAGGGCCCAGAGTGGGGCAGATGAGGGTGGAGGCAGGTGTGGGTGCTTCACATATCCCACCCACATTTTGATCTGATGGGTATGTGGCTCAGGTGGTCGCTGAGGCAAAAACTCGGTCGTGGGAGTAGTTCGGAGAGGCCATGGAGAATGACTTCTGTACAGCTTCGAGGCAATTCTGGTCCACCATCTGGCATCTTGGGGGTGGAAAGCGGTACACCACCAACACTATTTATAGTGGAAGTGGTGTGCTACTGACCTCAACTTGGAATGTCGTGGGACATGGGCAGAATACTTCGAAAACCTCCTCAGACCTCCTCTCGGGGTCTTGTTCACGAATGAGGGGAAAATGGAGCGTGAGATCGATAGGCAGATAGGTGCAGCATCTGCAGTGAAGTGGGCGCTGTACAGGTCTGTCATGGTGAAGAGAGAGCTGAGTCAAAAGGCAAAGCTCTCAATTTATCGATCAATCTACGTTCCTACCCTCATCTATGGTCACGAGCTTTGGGTTGTGACCGAAAGAACGAGATCACGGATACAAGCGGCTGAAAAGAGTTTTCTCCACAGGGTGTCTGGCTCTTCCTTAGAAATAGGGTGAGAAGCTCGGTCATCTGGGAGGGACTCAGAGTAGAGCTGCTGCTTCTCCACGTCGAGAGGAGCCAGTTGAGGTGGCTTGGGCATCTGATTTGGATGACGCCTGGACGAGTCCCTGGTGAGGTATTCCGGCCACATCCCACCGGGAGGAGACCCAGAGGAAGACCCAGGACACGCTGGAGAGACTATGGTTATTGGCTGGCCTAGGAATGCCTTGGGATTCCCCCAGAGGAGCTGGTCCAAGTGTCTGGGGAGAGGGAAGTCTGGGCCTCCCTACTTAGACTGCTACCCTTGCGACCCGACTCCAGAGAAGCAGAAGAGAATAGATGGATGGATGGATTATTTTAACTTGTTAATTGTCTCTGTAAAGACTTTTTAGGTAAGAAATATTTGGACAACAATCTGTCCTGTAACCACCTTCCATGTAATACTTGTTTCTTCTCTGGCATTTTTTCAAGT